TGACTCTTGACTTTTATAAAGAATATCTCTTTGGATTTGAGACTTTAGTCTTTGCAACTTTACAGATCTTCTTTGTGCACCAAGAGCTTGTAACACTCCAAAGAGAAAAGAAAAATTGAAATCGCATCATATGACCCCTTTAATAAAGACTTTAGATGCTAAAAAAAAGGTCAGCATAGAGTGGCTCTCTAATGCACTTTTCTTACTGTTATACAGACTTAATTTCCTGTGTGACCTTGCAGCATTAGCCTCTCCTGATTTAGCTGCTGTGAAACCCTTTTAAGCACAGTTAAAGTTTATATTATCCCTAATTTCCAATTAAGGTAAGCATCCTATAAAATGTCAGAGCTCTATGTTTTAATCGACTAGTTCATCAGGGGTAAAGTACGTTTTAAAAAGATTCACTACATTGTTAAGCTACATGCCAAAATGCCTGCTTAAAATCGTTGTGAGAAAACAAATAACAGGAGGTACCTAGACCAAAATGGCCACAATGTATTACAATTTACTGAATGGTTTGGATAACAAAAATAGAAAATGAACAGTGGACAGCCTGTGTGGCAGGTTCTGAGGATCTAGCCTTCAGTAGGTTAGAATGAAGGAGAATCTTGCACAGAACGTGCACAGAAGAAAATGTGGGCTAGATGGGATGATATATGCTGGAAATGCCAAAAGACTTAATGGCTTTTGTAATTAGGCAACAGAAATGAATGACTTCTGTTCGGATCTGGACAGAAATGGGATGATGCTTCACTAGGGTGAAAATTAGCACATTGCTTAGATCATTTTTTTATTAGATGCTCATTAAAGGGGTATAGATGCCACTTTATCAATGTGACATAAAGACAAACGGTGATAATTAGAAGACTGTACGCTATGGCCTTTTATAAGTTTGTTTGATGAGACAGACTTTGAAATCAAAAACTGGTCCACATCCAAAGAGAAGAATGTATATATTATTATGTCGAATGAAATCAAAATTGACCTTTGATTTCTTAATGCACATTCAAGTGTAATTCTTCGGTTCTATTAAAACTTTAACAAAATATTCTAATATCGACACTTTTCCAGATCCAATCCCATTTCATTTCCAATATGGAAGTGATAATGATACAATGGTTGTTGTCACTGTTTTCCAGGGTTCTCAAGGTGTTCCTGTCACGTACAGCCCAACGGATCCCATACATGACCAGCTGGAGAGTGATACGTCTTCTGTGTGTCATCCTGCTGATTGTGTTATGGTTCGCAATAGCCTGGACCGCCGCTGTTTGTCAGAATCCAAACAGACATCTCGCTCTCATCAGTGTGGGCTTCACCACTGATGGGCTACAGTTCAGCATGTGTCTGCTGGACCGCTGGGACTACATGATAGCTGTGGGTGAGTGAATCTGTTACCTAAGAGTTTCCTGTATGAGTATTTGGCATTTTAATGAGCACAGGCTGGAATAAATTGCTGTTGGAATCAAACAGCCTGGATGAAATGCTCCCAAATATGGATACTTGTTTAATGAAAGAAAATACAAATAATCTCTTCAAGGCACTGCTTAAAGGAATATTAAAAAATTAAACGAATGGGTCATTCACTCACCTTCATGTCATTCTAAACCTATATGACTTTCCTTCCTTCTTGGAACACAACAAAACAGTATTTAGCAGAATGTTCCCACTGCTCTTTTCCATATAATGAAAGTGAATGTATATTGCAATAGCATGAGAGCACCGTAAATGTAGTCCATATATTCACTTTTTTTTTTTCAAAAAGAAGTGCGCTTAAATGAAAAAGAAGTACATTTAAAAATACTATAAGTACTTTTAACAATATTGTTATCAGTATTACATTTAGTTAATATATTTTAAATGCACTAAATTGCAACATTACAATGTGTAATTACAAATATATTTAAATACATTACATACAGTTTTGAATAGAAATGATATTAAAGTATATTTTTGTTTACCATAAATGCTTGTCAGTACATTTAGCAGTAAACTTGAACCATAATTTAAAGACAATAGAAGTAATTTTGAAAATACATGTAAAGATCCTACTTAAGTGGGTAAAAAAAAAACACTCAAGTTCAGCTAATTGCATTTAATAAAAATGTAAACTACAATATGTTTTAATTGAATTGCAATTGACATTCAGTAAGTACATTATTTCCATAATAAGTAATATTTTTAAAAGTATGCTAAAAAGTGTGTACTTTTTCATGCAGGACAGCTATTTTATGTTGCTATTCAGTGAATTTCTGTAAGTCTGTAATACGCCTTTTCATTACAAAATTGGAAAAATTGCTAAAATTTATTATTTTTATGTATTTTTTAAATAAAATAGTGCTTAATTTGTCAGTAAGTGAGGACAAACTTTAATCTGTTCTTGTTCCAAACAGCTAAGATATTGAGTCCTGACAATGTTTTAAAAAAAAGAGTAAGTGAAACAGTCTACATTTTGCTATGATAAATATTTTAAATATCAATATTCTACATTCTACATGCAAAAGTAGTTATTTTGCATTGTGTTAAAATGCCCAAACAAATAATGAATCAAGCAAGATTATACTAGTACCTTACTACCTTTTGTATTATTGTTGTCATTGTTATTATCGTATTTGTATGGAGTAGGTATTGTAAATAGAAGGCAAAGTCAAAAGCATTGCATTATGGGATACAATATTCCATACAGTGCACTCTGCTGTGCATACAACTCAATTTGACAAATGTCATATGTCATTGAGGTATGCTTTGCGTACAAAAAAAAAAACAAATTACACACTATCTGCATAGTGTACATACTCTTTACTGCATACATTGTAAGTGTAGAGTATGCTAATCTAAACATAACAAGCGCGGTAGACCAACACAGGTCATCATGTTCGTAATACAAGCCAAGAAAGTGATGAATCAAGGCTGCCTTGGCACTAATTGCAGACACATAGCGACTCTCACAGGAAGCATCAGTCGGGCTGTGACGAATCGAATTCAGCACAAATGTTTATCCTGATGTCTTATCCTCGAGCATGGCAGATTGGAAAGTGCCCAATCTAACACCTGGACCAGTAAGCGTCACATTGATGATGACAGATTTTCACTGGGGAACACATGTTTATTGATGTCAGGCCAGCTGACTGGCTGACATTGTATAGGATGTGCCAATAGGGGATGGGGAACTATAAAACTTTGGACTGCCTTCCACAGCTTCATTTGCAATTGTCTGTCAAGAGGCGTCCAGAGAATACAAGCAATCTAGATGGCGTTTATTGCGTTTATTGAATGTCTTTTTTCTCTATCATTCTAGTATTTTCAATCTAGCGCTATACTGGTTTGTAACAGGAAGGTTTTGACAGCTACATCATTCTCGGGTTGATCTGGGAACTGGTAGGTCCCAGGTACTAGTCAGTTGGGTATTAACTCTATACTACCTCTCTCAAACAGCTGAGTTCCTGTTCCTCCTGTGGGGTGTGTATCTGTGTTATGCGGTGAGGACCGTCCCCTCAGCATTTCATGAGCCACGCTACATGGCCATCGCAGTGCACAATGAGCTCATCCTCTCTGCCATATTCCACATTTTAAGGTGAGTGACTGCCACCAAGGACTTTCTCCTTCTTCTCAAACTTCTTAATTTTAAGCCCCACCCACATTAAAAGATACAAATAACTTGCAACAGATACAGTTATCATCGTCTTCGCTGCACAGCCCTAATAATAACTCACTGGTCGCTCTTTTCCGTGCAATTACAATGAAAGAATCAAAAGGATACAGTGACTTGTGCTCTTTATTCCAAGTCATGTGGTTTATGTGAAGAACAGATCTAAATATAGGTTGCTATTCTTTAAAAATCTTCCTCTTTAATTGAATGTTAACCACTATGACGGGATCATTGGGTCTTAAGAACCATCAATCTGTTTCATTAAATGGAAAATCCTCCGAGGAATCATTTGAATAATTCAGAGGTTAGGATTTCTTCAAGCTTTGATGAAATTGTATTCGTTCATTTGCTTTGAGATCCTTTAATAATCAGAACTAATTTGGATACTTGGCAAAATTCACAGTCTCTCTTCACCTGTTGCAATATTTGACTAAAATGATACACTAGCTTACTGGTTTGAAAAGCTTTTTTCTCATTTATTCAGTCACACTATTTTAAGGTCCAATTCTCACCACTGACAAACCATTCATTTTTGCCTCAATTGCTTCTTATTAATAGTTAGTAAGGTAGTTGTTAAGTTTAGGTATTGGGTAGGATTAGGGATGGAGAATATGTTGATGCAGAATATGTGCTTTATAAGTACTAATAAACAGCCAATATGTTAATAACAGACTTGCTAATAAACAACTAGTTTAGTAAGAATAGTAAGAATTGGTCCCTATGCTAAAGTGTTAGCATTTATTCTTATCGCTTTTGCCATTTCTGGCACACTTTTGACAGAAACCAAAGATTTGACATCGTTTGAATATTCATTCTGATTGGTCAGTTTACTATTGAAATTTTTGATTAAGCTATCTGCTCTTGCATTGGGCAGTGGTTAAACCCCCCTGTGCTATTTGAACAATTTATCGCTTTTTAATTCTTATGTTAATTTTAAATGTATTTTTGAGGAAGCTCAGCTTCCCCTGCCCGATGGACTGACACTGCCTTCTAAAGAGTCGGTTTAGGGTTGTGGAGCGTATGAATAACTTCAGCAGTAATGAGGCACTCATTCAGGCATGGACTTGAACTCTTACACAAGATAAAGGCAGTTGACTTCAAAGGCAGGGCATGTGATTTTTAGAAGTGCTGCATCGCTTGCTGCTCTCTCCACTGTTTCTACAGTAATTAATCACAGTACAGAGCCATGGGATAGTGTTACTTAACTATCTGTATTTTGGTGTAACAGCACCCATGTCCTTTCATCATAAACAGTAATTAATGCATTGTGGCAGCCAGTGTTTTCAGCATCAAGCACAGATAAACACAGCATCAATCTTAAAATAAACCTGCTGTATTGGAGCTGTGCACATGCTCTAACATCACTGTGTGACTGCAGGTTCGATAATAGCTTGTATCATTTGCAAATGCCATTCTACCTTCACTCCCTAGCTCTGGAGATCAGGAATCAGTATATTGTGTACACAAATCCAGGCACCTGGCTCAAAGTTCAGTTTAGCCTCTTAAATCACTTAGTAGGTTTCCTGTTTTTGTAGTTGCAGTAGGTGACCATATAAACATGCAATGGTTTTATTTTGTTCAGTCTAACACCAAAAAAAAGTAAAAAGTGTAGATGATTGTTCATTTGGATTCTGTAAATCCACCCACAGGTTCAAGCTATGAATGAATAGGTTCTTAGAATGAGTGCAATGATTAATGAATCTGCATAGTGTAGAGTGTAAAAGTGTGATAAAAGCATGCTGTAGATACTACCAAGGTTTATAGGGGAGAAAAGTGAGCAAAACATGTCGCATTGGATGCTGCTTCAAAGCTGGAAAAAGTTGTAACATTACTATATTACCCACTTTGATGATACCATATATTGAAAGATATATCAATATGTTTATTAAATTTTATATGCATTCATATAAAGTCAGTTCAATTATTGAAGAATTTGGTTGTGTAAATAAGCATTTTGGAATACGACCAGAGCCACACATAATGCACACATACCAGATAGCTATATTGTATTGTACTGTATTGTTTTAGGAAGTACGCAAAATTGTAAAATATAGAAACTGCAATGGTTTTTATTTTGTTCATCCTATCGCCAAAAAAGTAAAAAGTGTAGATGATTATTAATTTTTCTGTAAATCCATCCACAGGTTCACTCTTGCCCCTGAACTGCACCCGGACTGGATGTTGATGCTATTCTTTGCTCATACACACTTGACAGTGACTGTCACTTTGGCGTTACTGCTTGTGCCAAAGGTAAACCAACCAATCCTCTTTTATCCTCTGAATCATTTGTTGGCTAAAATCAAAGTTTACAGAATCTCTTAAGCACTCATGTCTTTCCCACAGTTCTTGAAATTTTTGATTAAGCTATCTGCTCTTGCATTGGGCAGTGGTTAAACCCCCCTGTGCTATTTGAACAATTTATCGCTTTTTAATTCTTATGTTAATTTTAAATGTATTTTTGAGGAAGCTCAGCTTCCCCTGCCCGATGGACTGACACTGCCTTCTAAAGAGTCGGTTTAGGGTTGTGGAGCGTATGAATAACTTCAGCAGTAATGAGGCACTCATTCAGGCATGGACTTGAACTCTTACACAAGATAAAGGCAGTTGACTTCAAAGGCAGGGCATGTGATTTTTAGAAGTGCTGCATCGCTTGCTGCTCTCTCCACTGTTTCTACAGTAATTAATCACAGTACAGAGCCATGGGATAGTGTTACTTAACTATCTGTATTTTGGTGTAACAGCACCCATGTCCTTTCATCATAAACAGTAATTAATGCATTGTGGCAGCCAGTGTTTTCAGCATACACAGGTCCTTTCTAGCTTACCTCAGGAATTTCAGAAGGTGATGTAACAACAATATGAGGAAACCTTATTTTCTGCATTCAAATAGACATGTCCACGCTATTCCATGCAGCAGTGCATGTCATCTCAGAGGGGCCGTCGATTTCCAACCAGATTAAAAGAGCTGGAAGCAACAGAGCTGCAAACCTCACTGCAAACATGGTGAAGGTGAACACAGTCTCCCAGCAGGTCAGCACAGATAAACCTGAAGAAAAAAAAAATTACATAGCTATATTGTATTGTACTGTATTGTTTTAGGAAGTACGCAAAATTGTAAAATATAGAAACTGCAATGGTTTTTATTTTGTTCATCCTATCGCCAAAAAAGTAAAAAGTGTAGATGATTATTAATTTTTCTGTAAATCCATCCACAGGTTCACTCTTGCCCCTGAACTGCACCCGGACTGGATGTTGATGCTATTCTTTGCTCATACACACTTGACAGTGACTGTCACTTTGGCGTTACTGCTTGTGCCAAAGGTAAACCAACCAATCCTCTTTTATCCTCTGAATCATTTGTTGGCTAAAATCAAAGTTTACAGAATCTCTTAAGAACTCATGTCTTTCCCACAGTTCTTGTTTGCGGGTACACATCTAAGGGATGACATTGCTACAGAGGCCTATGAAGATGAATTGGACATGGGCCGGTCTGGGTCATACCTGAATAGCAGCATCACGTCCGCCTGGAGTGAGCACAGTCTGGACCCAGAGGATATTCGGGTAGGTGCCCTGATTTCTTTCAGGCTTTCTTTTCCCCTTGACTCTCTCCTGCCTTAGTAATTAACTGAAATTTCATAATCTGCAAATATCTCTTGATCCCTTGTCCTATAACTCACAAACATACTGAGCCATGGCAGTTTTTTATTGCAGACACCAGAGGAAATGGGCCAGCTAAGTTCTATTAATGGCTGTGGCGTAAGGTCTTGCGACAGTCTTTGGGAAAAACGTACCAACGTGAGCAGAGGTTTTCGTTTGTTTGTTAGAGCTGAAGAAGTCTCTCACCAAAGACTCAAATTTTGTTCATAGAAAGGGCATTTTGCTAATGGGATAAAGTTCTGCTCTTGGTATAATTGTCGTTGATGACACAGCTGTATGAAATGCTTTGATGTTCTTCAGAGGCTCTTTCAGACCTAACAATAAAACATTAAATTTTCGTATTTGACACCGTTCCAGACTGTCCTGTCTCTAATTAGTGTAAAACAGCATGTTGGTTTGGTCTAACGTCTTTGAGGCACTGCCTGTAGTTGCATATAATGACTAGTTCTGCATGCTTTCTGTGCAATAGAGCGTCTGCTTCACTGTAACTAGAATCATTTAATTTTTATGCTTCTACATCTAGGCATATGTTGTGAGTTAATGGCCCATTTTGTCTTCAAATCCACAGGAAGAGCTGAAGAAACTCTACTCCCAGCTGGAGATTTATAAGAGGAAAAAGATGCTGGCCAACAATCCTCATCTGCAGAAGAAGCGCAGCTCCAGAAAGGGCCTAGGTCGCTCCCTCATGCGCCGCATCACTGAGATTCCAGAGACAATGGGCCGCCAGTGTAGCCGTGAGGACAAGGACCTGGGTGAACATGGGAGTAACCGCAACAGCATCTGTGTCCTGAGAAAGAACCCTTTTGAACCCACACACCCTGTCAAGCCTGCCAAAGATGAATCCTTGAAGAGCAAAGTTTTCTCCCTTAAAAAGTCCCACAGCAGTTATGACCATATTCGGGACCACAGTGAGGATTCCAGCAGTTCAGTAACTGACAAGATGGAAGTCACAAACACAGAAGGCTCCCTTCTCGAAACCCTAATGGGCAAGAAGCTAGTCAAAAAGTCCTCCGAGAAGATTGATGCAGCCAGTGAGTCAACAGAGTCCGTTCCCCTGGTGTGTAAGTCAGCCAGCGCTCACAACCTGACAGCTGATAAGAAACCTATTCACCCTAGAACATCCATGCTGCAGAAATCTCTAAGCGTCATTGCCAGTGCCAAAGAGAAAACTCTTGGTCTAACAGGAAAGGCCCAAGCAGCGGAGGATCCAACAAAGAAAGCCAATCAAAAGAACAAGGATGCCAAGACCCCAGCTGAAGCTGAAGAAAATGAGGGTTATCCAAAGATGATTGTCAGTCAGTCAGTGGAGTACAAGCAGACAGCTGCCAAAACTGGTATAAGGAAGCCACAGATGAGCGGAAGCCAGCCCTCAGTTTGCTCAGAAACAGCCAAGGGGAAAGACCTGTATGACCTCTCAGAGGTGTGCCCTTGGGAAGTGGAGGACTTGCCGACTCCCTCCGAAAACATGGTCCAGAAACATGTGTCTATTGCCCCCGAGCAGACCACCACAGTCCATGGAAGTAGCAACAAGGCGACAAAGTCACAACAGCAAAAGCAGAAAGGCACAGAGCAGTCACCCTCCGTGGTCAGACGTCCAACCCACAAAGCTGGTGATAGAGCAGACATATGTCCGTGGGAGGAAGGAAATGAGGACCATAGTCAGGCAGTGGGGCCAAAACCTCACTCCAGTAGTAAGCCTGCCATCTCCAAACCCCAGGCATCTGGAGAGGTTGCCAAGGTTCTAAAAGCTGAGGTCTGTCCTTGGGACTTTGAGGAAGTGCCGAGCAAGCCAAAGGACTCGGGTTGCTCCCCTGATCAGAGCAGACCACGAAAGGACACCACGCCAACTGAGATCAAAGGGAAAATAAGCTCCTCGCCTACTGAAGTCAAGGGCAAGGGTACAACGCCCACCGAGGATAAAGCAAAGAGCGTTTTCTCCGAGCCTACTAAATCTACAGGCAGCACACTACAGCCACCCTTTAAAGCAGAAGTGTGTCCATGGGATGTTGAGACTGTGTCAGGTCCTGTCTCTGAAAAAAACCCTTGTTCTTCTCAGGTTTCTAAAACAAAGGAGACCCGTGCTATAAAGAAGGGAACTTCTTCTGTCAGAATATCAGAGATGGAAAGAGAGAACGCAAAGGGTCCTGATGAAGACAAAATGAAATCAAATGCAAAAGACAAGTTAACCTCTGGAAAAACGAAAGATAGACCTATCAGCCAGCCTAAACTGGCTGAGGTTTGTCCATGGGATGCTGATAGTAGTCACGCAATTGTCTCAATGGAAAAACAAAAAAGCCCAAATGTTGCATTAGCAAAAATCAAGCAAGCAGAGGTATACCCTTGGGATTTTGAAGATGCGGCAACTAGTAAAGAAGTCAACCGGAGCACCAGTTCATCCACTGGCAAACAGAAAAGTTCGAATTCCAAAGGCAGAGTTACTAGTGGTGTTAAAACGTCAGATGTCTGCCCTTGGGACTTTGATGACCAAGGATCAACAAAAAAAGCATGACACTTTACCTGAGTGAACCATTAGTTAGTCCTCATTATATGTGCTTTTTCTTTCATAAATACACCATGGAATAAAAACTTTAATAGCATTTATGGTGATTTGGAGAAGAAAATCAACATGTCGCACAAGCTGCCTTTCTCTTCAACCTTTTGTTTTCCCTTTGTGTTTTTTGGAATAAAAGGAAGAAAACCCTGAAAAAAACACACACACAAAAACAAAAATGCAACAACTCACCAGGCATTCCAGATTTTAAAGTATTGGTTGAACCTTTAAATAGAAATGGTAGTTTACAATTATGCAACTCTTTATGTGCAATGTAAACAAGATGCCTATGCTCACCACATGTATCCTCATTAACATCTGAACTCTCAGAACAGCTGCATCTGTAGCCTCTCCTTGACTGTGGCTTCCACAAAAGATTGTACAAGTTCTTGTTACATAGGAAGGTGTGGACCATGCATGAAGTGTCATGGAGTAAGCCTGATCCATTTCCTTGTTTTCGTTTGTTTCACACATTATCATCTGGTTTGAGTAAAAATGAATATTTGCCAAAGATAGAGGTAAAATCCAATAAATCTAAGAACTCAAACCTCAACAGCATAATAGAGACACAGCATTTGTACAGTGAGCCGGATTCATGCGGCTGCTAGAAAATTAGCCTGTAGCACTTTAGTAAAGAACATGCTTAGAGAGACAGATGCAAACTGGACAGAACTCCATTCATATTTGCCCTTGTTTGTTGTTTGGCCTTGCTGTTTTATGCCGTTCTGCGATCATATGTGCACATCTGCAACATTTTTTAGTTATCTTGACTAGAAAAAAAAAAGCTAGAAAAAATTAAACATTTCCAATGCTTCCAAATGTGCTGATATATTATCCTGAATGTGCCTATTTAAATAGTCCTGTACCAGTCTTACTTTGTATTGGGAGATGTGAAACCTTTGTCATAGCCCATGTTACAAATACTTATTGAAACACTTGATGAAAATCAGCATCTTATTTTTAAAAAGAAATGAAGTTTAGTTTATATATTAGTAATGTTGCAAAATTGTAAATGCTTTTTGAATGGGGTACGCTATGAAAAAAAAAAGTCCACTACTCAGTTCATGGGACCATAGATATTGTTTCTCTCAGCGTAGGGCACAATCATGCCTCTAATGTCTTTCCTTTTTGTCTTTTACAATTAGAACACTCATGACAATATATGAAATCAAATTCCAGTCTATCTCATATCAAATTCTAACCCAAGCCTCAATTTCTTTAATATGTATTACATCAGTTTACAAATAAAGTCTTGCTCTTACCGTATTGATTTTTTTTTTTGGAAAATGTATCGATTTCTTAGAAGAACATTCTAAAAACATCCCCAGTGATCGCTGATGTGAATTCAACAATGTATCTAAATTACTGTTGGAATGTTAACATATCTTGTATGCCTTTTCAGCACACGGTCATTGGTAATCTGTAATGATGTCAAGGTAATGGTGTCACAACACATGAGGCATGAACTGTTGTACAGGTTGATGCCTAGTTATGAAATGTTCGTATAAATGTCGACATATTGCGATTGCAAACTATTTTGACCCAATCTTACAGTAGCTAAATGGTTTTTAAATGTATTGACAGATTCTTGTGTTTTGTATGTGCACAATATGAATTAGCAAGAATACAGAATAAATGGTTATACCATGTACGTATATATGTTATAGCTACCAAAGAGGTTAAAAAATGTACCTAAATATATAATTCTTGGCATTTGTTTGAAATCAAATGATGTCACACTCCCGTTTCTCCACAGTGGTGTAAATTTATCAATGACCTCTAGTCACAATTTAACTTATGAAACTAAAAGTATCTTTCCATGCTAATATTTACATAGGTAGGTCATTCCTGTTCGGCAGTACTTTTTTTTTCTTTCTTTCACCAGACTTTCAGAAATATGCTCTGGTAATGACGGGTTCAGACTACATGATATTTTTGTCGGTCACGATAGTCACTGTGTCAGATTACACGATTTTTACTCCTAAAATCTTGTGTGTCGTGGACAAGAAACATGTCAGACTACACGTTGCTTCCCAACCATTCATCGCGTGCCGTCTTTAACGACGCGCGTGATGTCATCGAGAAGGTGGAACTAGCGACTGACTTCCGAAAACAAGAGTGTAAACATTGCTGAAGTGCTTCCGCTATAGTTCGCCAGCATTTTTCTTTCTTTGTTCTGTCATGGTAGTCCCTCGATGACACAATATACAGGCAGGAGTACTGTTGCCACAGCTCCACGAACCTTTCCTCCATCTCATAATTCCACCTAGCAGCACCATCATCTCTCTTTCGTTTTGCCATGTTTGAAACCTGTGTATGAAAGAGCTTCTGTGCTGCTATTGGTCAACGTCACCAATGTGACAGAACTGGTCGTGGACGACAGAAAAAAAATTAAACATGCTAGTCTTTCTGTCGTGATGTCGTGAAGCATCGGAGATGCGGAATCGGTTGTCGTCCACTATGACACACTACACGAGCTGAAACGATGGAATCTTGCGTCCAGACGCCCATTGTCGTTTACGAATCCCCACGACACCCTACGTCAAGCAAATCGTGGCAAAATTGGGCTAAAATCGTGTAGTCTGAACCGGGCATAAAGCTTGACATGATCAATTATGACTACAATTTAATTAATTATATCTTGATTATTTGCTCAGTGGAATTAAAATGAACAGAAGAGAAATTATTTTGAAATATTTTAATGTGTGATAAACCAATTAATGCCACAAAACATCACAGATCATTCATGAGGTTTATTGCTAGTACTCACCGGCAAAGATGACCTGGCTTTTAGAGACATTACAAAAGTGACATTGAATTTGACCTATAAATTCATTACCAGTTAATTAACCAAACCAGTTCATTTAGATGTTACTATTTTTAGCTTCCATCTTTCCATCTTTCAACACTGTAAATGTTATACAAAATGTATTGCCAAGTAGGAATGACCCAGGTAGTACTGAATACAAAGCAGTAACCGAGAGAGAATCACCACTTTCCCAGATTTATGTAATCTGCTGATAATTTATAAGCCAAAATTTCTACTATTCTCATCAGGACATGTGCTCATGGATTTCTAGGCACACTAAAGGGAACTTATAGTTCAACTGCTCCTTAACTGTCTAGTCATCTCATGCTCTTGTGAGAACAGACAACTTTCCAGATTCTGTTCTTAATGTAGGCCTAGATGGATGTGTAAAATTGACCAACTTTGTTACATAGAGAATGTTTCTGGGAATGGTTGTTGTATCGTAGTGCATCCCTCTAGTTTTCGAGTTTTACCCATCTGCAGGTCCTCAGTTGATCTCTATGTAGTATGATGTAAGCACTCAACTCATGACCTGTTAATGTTAATGGTAACCTTGCCTATTACATTGTCTTAGTGCAATGTTTAGTTCAGTTTTTGGAGTTTACAGAAGTGATTATTTATCTATTTATGACTTGATTTTGGTTATTTAGCTCGTTTACTTGGGCCCCACGCGTGTCCCACCACTGTCACGTGTTGGGGGGACACTCCTACTAAACGCGGTATTGTCTTAGCTCTAACTCTCGTTGCTTCTGCATGATAATGAGAAATTAGTAAGACTGATGTTTCACTGCCCTTGATATAACTTAAAAAAGAATCTTTGATCTTTATTGGACTGTTACAAGTTGTATAGTTTGTGAAACTGTACCCTACCCTCTGTATTATGTGCTTGTTATATTAAATGCTCTATGACAAGCTTATAGCATACACATATGGAGATATTTGGTAGATTTATATTGTGTAATATTGTGATAGCATGTACATAAAAATACCTCCTCTGCAATAAATATTTCTACAAAACGCAATTCTGTGTTGACTGAATGAAATCAAAATGAAGGGAAAAAAGAACCTTCAATGAAAACTTTACTTGTACCTTTTATTGCTTTTCACAATACTCTAGTACATATTGGTGTTATTCTGGTCAGGTAATGAATCTGAAATCGATGATACACCACGTTCAAATTGTTGTACAGAAAATAGCAACAAAATTAAGTGTGGTCAAAATTGTCATCTGTCCGAAAGTTAAGTACCCATTATTTTACAGATGTCCAACACAATACCATGTAAATTTGTAACTATTTATTTATTTATTGCAATTTTGATGGCTAATTCATATGTATTTATACAATCTCATTTACATTTTCATACGATCTGCTTACGCCCCAGTGACAGTTATGATTAGCATTTAAAGGTTAGGGGTGTATCTTCATGCTTATTATTTTATTTTTTATAAAAATCAAACATTTTAATAACAAATGAATAAGAAATAGTACCTCATAAAATAGTTAAGGTTTCTCATGACAGTGGGATGGATATAACAGGTGTGCTCAGGGATTTCTTGTGGTCACACTTTATTTTAAGCTCCTATTCTCACTATTTACTAACTATTAACTATGACTTTTCCCTCAATTAACTCCTAATTACTGCTTATTAGTAGTTAGTAAGGTATTAGTTAAGTTTACGTATTGGGTAGGCATGTAGAATATGTATAAGTACTAATAAATAGCCAATTATGCTATAATATACATGCTAATAAGCAACTAGTTAATAGTGAGAACTGGTCCCTGAACTAAAGTGTTACCTTTCTTGCTTACTTGCTTGCCATGTGTATACTTAATCTAAATATGGTGCTAGAAAATCACATAAGTCTTGACATAAATTTTGAAACTGTCTCTCCACCGTTGCTATCAATGTCTCTCCACTGGTTGCTACTATTACTTTAGTCATAAATAGCCCTAGAATGTCAAAACATTGTAATGGTTATCATTATGTCAACCGTTGCAATTTAAGAACATGCCTCCTGCTTTCTGTACACACACTGAAAAGTCTGCATCTATCTGTTTTGTACATGCATGTTATTGATCTTATTGTCAACGATTCATCCATATAGGTTTCGATTCATTCATGTTTCTCATTAAGGTTAATCAAAATTTCAACTTGATATTCTGGTGAAACAACATGCCTCTCTATGGTGCTTGGTGTTTCTCTATGGCAGCTTGAAACAGAAGTTTGTTTCCAGTATGGATAAAACCTTTGCTCCTTAACAGTGGTGCTTGACAGCCAGCCAATCAGATTTGACCTTGACATTTTTAGCTAGTATTAAACCATTTCTTGCCGTTTTTAGGACTATTGTTACAACACTGATGAAACCTAAAACAGTTCCACAAAGAGCCCTGATCATTGATTCTTACACCGGTTCAAATATGTTGCATTTGCAAAAATCTCTTGGCTGGTTTTACATTGTCAGCATTTTTGCTTTCATTAATAATGACTGATCTCCCCGCAAAGGCTCCAGCTAAGTGGTCATGGCCTATTCTCAAAGTAAATTTGTATCCTGGCAGTCTTAGTTCTCTCCAAGGTTTGTTTACTTTAAACTTAAAGGAAGCCTTTAAAAGCCTTCATTGTTAACACTTTAGGATATTCATATGCATGTTTGGCTCAGCTCCTGAAAAGCTTTAATGGAGATGCTGTAGTCTTTCTGACACAGATCAATTGGTGCTCTGTATGGGGAAAGTGGATAAGACGATATCAGGTTCTTCCTCATATTTCTGTCAATAGCCAAGCTGCTGAAGATCAGTCCAGTCAACTGCTGTACAAATGTGAAGTGAATGTGAAGTGAATACTTGATTCCAGTTCTTTAACTTGAAAATATCCAACATCCAACTAGATTTTCAGAAGAATATGTGAGTGATGCTTGCTGCAGTAAAACTCTTCCACAAAGCTAGATTGCTGTGGATGGTTGCCAGAGCATTTATGGTGTTGCTAAGGTGTTCTGGCTTGCCTTTGGTGTTTGAAATAACACTTAATGGGTTAATTTGGCCCAAAATGAAAATTCGGCCATCATTGACTCACCAAAGAAATTAGTTCATCTTCAGAACAAAAATTGAGATATTTTGAATCAAATTTGAGAGATTTCTGTCACTCCATTTAAAGTTTGTTCACCAAAAACTCTGACATTTCCTCTCAACTAATCCTTTAAAGGCAGGGTAGGTGATTTGGTTCGAAAATTATTTTTGTTATGCATAAGGCGTAGGACCATAAAATGTTTGTCCAATAAAAATGTTCGGTTCGAACATTATGGATGTCCTGCCTGCCTGTCAAATATGTATTTGCATATCTCTGCCCACCCTTTACGCAGACATGATACGTTATCAGCACGTTCCAGCAAGAATGAAAGGCGCTATTATTGTAATATTATGCGCTTCGCACTGTAATGTTTTCTCACCAATGAATGA